TCGGGCGGGAGGGCGGGGTCTGGCACACCCATAGCACCCATGCAGGGTTGGGGAGTCCCCTGACAACCCACAGCACAGCACCCAGGAGACACTGACCTGATCTCTGAGGTAGGTAGGTAGCCCTGCATCCTGGATGGTCCACTGCTGCTGGGCAGGCACACACCACAGAACTTCCAAAAGATGTGACATGGTTAACTGTGATAGGGGATGGTCATGCTGTTTTGCTTCTCTGCAACTTCTCAGTATGCTGGGATGTCTAAAAAGAGATTATTCATATTGAAGCTTTTCCCACCTGATCTTCAGTGGTGTATAAGGCTTATGTTAGAGCTCTGTACAGTAAGAAGTTTCTCCTGTGAACGTGTTCTTGCTCTGTAACATAAGGACGATGTTGTTTCCCTTCCTTGTAGAGACAATGCTGCTTACAGACATTAATTGCCCCCACCCCACCCCCAAAAGAAACAACCAAAACTGTGCTTTACCAGAAAAGCATTAGTTCGACCTGGGTCCACAGTGTCTGGGCACTTCAGCAGTGCTTTTTGGTGCTTTTATCTAATAGCTGATTCAACCAGCTATTAGAAAAAAGCACCAAAAAGCCCCACTATAAATGTCTACACTGCAGTCTGCACAGTGTAGATAACCTGCAGAGAAACAGGGTAAATTAACCTTCCCACAGCTCCATGCCATCTTGGCTAGACTTCTGTTGTACTGGCTAGCACATTTACAGTTAGTTTACATTATCTTTACACTCCAGTGTACTCTGTATGGATAAATTCAATAGTGTTTGCATATGGTCCCAATTCACTGAACCAGTTTAAGTATATGCAGTCCTTTTGATTAATCAAAGCAGCCATTTCTATCCCACATTACAAAATCAAGCAAATATCAAATACTTTTGTAAGACATTTGTACAGCCTCGGTTTCATATTCATGAAAGTGCAGTGAACTTTCACTCGAGACTACTCATTTGCTTAAGATCACACATATCTAAGTGCTTTGCTGGACTGAGGCCTTTTTAAGTACGTAAATAGTCAGAAAACTCCCACAGCCCTCTTTTCAAGAGAGGGGTTGGTAAGCTCTAATATCCAAGTCAACTTCCATCTCTGATAATTACATACTACCTATTGAAAATCCTGTGTAATTTCAACTGGAAATATTTGTTCACCCACTTACTCTCCTAAATTGTTATATGTAATTCTAAAAGCTGGTTAACATCATACAGAGAAGGTGGCAAAAAAGTCAACAGAGCTTCACAACAAATACATGAAAGACATAAAATATGAAATCTCTGAAACAAATGATGTTCCTATTAAGGGGCAAAAGGGCAGGGACAATGGAATCAGTGAATTTATATTTTTCCCACAGACTTTGCTATGTTCTTAAGGTATAATAATAGTTTCTGGCTTTTACTTTGTACAGAACTACATTCCTATCTTCTTTGGTCTGCTGACAGAATGCAACAATAGTATTAACTGAAAAGCCAAGTTTTGACTATTTAAACATAATTTTCAGATAGTTTGTCCAAAAGAGAAACGCCTTGCCTTCAACATGAAGATTAATTGTTATTACACATATTCAAGGCTGTCAAAAATAATGACAGTCCTCTTTGTAAAGAGTTTAGAATGTAAAGCATGGACTTACTGGAGATGGGAATTTCAGATGAGGAAGTACTTTTTAAAAAACACAATATTTCAAAACACATTTTAGTGCTATATTTATATATAAAAAATCTATATATCTGTAATAATGTTTTTCCTTTTTCTTGTTTTGGGACATTCCTACTAGCCCTAATTTTCTCTACCGCACTAACTGATACTTTGTTTATTTAATATCCCGGGTGAAATCCCAGTAGAATTTTCCCATTGACTTCAATGACACCATGATTTTCACTCCATGCTAGTAGGCTTGTGCCAGGGGCACAGGATCGGGGGACAGGGAAGCCCTGCCCAGAGGCAAATCCCCAACCGGGGAAAAGAAAGAAAAGAATAAGAACTCACCTGTTCCAGGGACCCGGAGGAGCGAGGAAGCCCCAAGCAGGGAACCACCTGCACAGTTTGTAAGCCGCACCTATATACAGCTGGGTGACATCATGAGGAGACATCATCCGGCAGAGATTAGAGGACACCGCGAAAGTGCGGGAAAGCTGCCAAGGGCTGGAGAACCGGTGGGGATCCACTGGCCAGGAGGGGACCAGCCTCAGCAAACGGTAGACAGCTGAGGAGGCAGAAGCAGGACCAGCGCGGGCACCAGCACCAGCACTAGCACCAGCACCGGCACCGGCACCGGCACCAGCACCAGCACCGGGGCCTGTAATCGTGGTGGAAGCAGCGATGGCAGCCACAACTGCAGCAGCTGCTGATCCGGCACTGGCACCAGCAGCCACAGCGGGAGTGGCGACGGCAGCAGCGGCTGTAACAGCTGTGGAGGCAGCAGGGAGCCCCTGACCTGGAGCAGCCCAATGAGGACCGAGGTCACCGGTGGAGAAGCCAGCAGAGGCAGTAGTGTCCAGGGCAGTGAGAGTGGCAGGAGATCCCCAAGCTGAGGATCGGCGGGGATTAGAGACACCGGCAAGAAAGCTGGCAGGAAAGCCGGCAGGAGTGGTCACGGTGACAGGAGCACCAAACCAGCAAAGCCTGGAGAGGCAAAGAGAAAGATTACAGCCAGGGTGAAGGCACGGGTCCTGACCCACAGGGCACCCCAGACAGAGGGCATCGAGGGAACTGAAGCATACGGAGCGCGGAGGGCACTTTATTTTCTCTGGGTTCCTTCCTTCTTTTTCTCTTGTTCTTTTATTCACTCCTCTTCCTTTGGTTGCACCTCACTAGGAGTCACGGTGGAGAGTTTTGCTCAGTTAAGATCACAATGGGTGTTCTAGGGAAGTGGGGTGAAGTTCTCAGCATCTGGGTTTAGAGTTGCCGCCATTGTGAGATGACGTAGAGGCTCGAGAAAACGTCGGAGGGAAGGAGACCGCAAACTAGACCTGGAGGCCCGTCTCACAGAGGCGGTGCATGGCCGGGGTGTATGGGGAGGTTGGAGCCCCGTAAGCGCACGCCAAGATGCGTGATGACCCTGGAGGCACTGACAAAGGGGACCCCCTCCACTGAAGGGTCATTCAAAGTCATGGCAGGCAAGTTAGGGGGTCTCCCGGAAGATGACCGGGACATCCTCTGGGGTCTGTATGCGGGGCCCAGGCATACAAGATCTATTGCTCAGGTGAAGGAGGTGCGGGAATGGACAATAGAGCAGAGACAGGTACAAGGCTATGCAAAGATATATTTCAACCCTCATTAAATAATTTATTTATACACTGCTACCAATGGACTTGGTGGTGCACAAGGCACTACAAGACCTCTCCTGCCTTGTGCAGCTTATTGTTCTGTCAACTTCACAAATTTTTGCTGCTCCATTCCTGATATAATGCCCAATATGCCATTTTCTGGTATATTTATTTATAACTATATATTTTTTGTTACAACCATAAATTTGCTAGCATGTAGAGCTTCTGGGACACTGGATAGCTAAATTATCCAGCTTCCTTTCTGTTATGCATCATCAAGCTTAGACTCTTAAAACATCAAAGATGTTGAAAGATGAAAAATAAGGCTATGTGAAACACAATAGTTTCATTTTGACGTCCATTTCACCGTTTCGAAGGGACAGTGTTTTGTTTTATTTCGAAGCACTGTCCCATTTCGTTTTGTCGAAACTGTTTTGCTGTTTCAATGTTTCGCCCATAGGCTATAATGGGTAATCATGAAAATGCCTAAAACTTTGTCATTTCTTGCCTGATTTGGATGAAAATTGCAGGAATGGTAGCCCCTTCTGAGGACATGAAGCCTGCCAAGTTTCAAGGAGATGAGTGCAAAGGTTTCTCAGAACCTCAAACTGTTTAAAGCAAAACTTATGACACTTGCCAGCAGCAGCAGCCTCCTGTCACCCGGTGAGCAGAATCAGGAGCCTGCACTCCTAGGAAGATTGCGGGGCTGTACCAGACTCCTCCCAGGGGTGTGGGCCCCTGGATATGCATCGGATGACAGGACACTGCTGCTGCTGCCTGGGACTGGTGCTGGGCGCAGTCCACACCAAGCACCAGGGAAGACTGATGCTGCTGCTGGCCCCAGGCAGCAGCAGCAGACCCCTCCTGTCATCCGGCCCAGTGGTCCAATCAGCTCCGCTGCCCCACAGAGCTCAGCCCAGCAGCCGGAGGTGGGCAGAGCCAGGGCTACACTGTGCTTCCTGCCGCCAGACTGAGCTCCATGGGCGTGCAGAGCCACTTGGAGCACAGCCCCTCCATGGGGCTGCAGAGCCACTTGGAGCACAACCCTGCCACCCACCACTGGGCTGCTTTGAAACTCAAAACATTTCAAGTGCCCTCATTTTGTTTCAAAGTTCTTTCGAAGCTTTTTATTTCATTTCAATTTTGCTGTTTTGAGCTCGAAACACATCGAAACAGCTTCAAAATGAAACACTCAGCAAAATTGTGCACAATCCTAATGAAAAGCTCTAGGTATTCTTAGTCCATGCTAATGGTCCCCTGTGATGATATGTGCATATTTATATCACTCCTACAATTTAATGCATGGTATAGGACTGATTTGAACTATAGGGTTAAATAAATTCATACTTCTTTTACCAGAATTTTTTGGCAGGAAAAAGTACTGGTTCCCAGGAGGTGAATAAAATGTACTTTAATCTAATTTATAAGATTTCTATAAACCTGTATTTAAATACTTGACAATACAGATTTCTATCTTTTGGCTAAGATCAAGGGTGGGCTGAACACCCCAGTACACACACAACATAGGCTTGCAAAGACTGTTAATGCC